CTGTATTTCCAGGTTTATGACATTCTATCCAGTGCATGGCTTTAACTCACCATTACTCCAAGGAGATTCCAGATGAAAGACATAACAAGACCCAAAAGAGATACATAAAAAAAGCATAAGACATCAACGCAACTGCACTTGCTACATGATATTTATGCAACTGGATGGTACTTGCATACCAGCAGCTTATTACTTGTGGACTGTTCTCATGAGCATCTTGATGGAGGTGTGCAAGGAGCTCATCTGCGTCACAGTGGCAGAATGAAAGTACCAAGAGGCTCATTTGAAAATTTAGCAGCTGGTCTTCAACATCTCAGTGGTGAATGAAGGATGAGGAAGAGAAAGGAAAAAATTTCCTTTCAGAGAGAAGCTGAGGCAGCTTATACTAGTCAAAGCTTAGCACAGCACTTCCCAGCATGGGCTGTAATCTGCCACCGTGCTGTAGTGAGTACAATTGCTGGATCACAGTTCACCATTGCTACTTGAGGCCCAGAAGTAAAGCTCTTCTGCCCCATGCACAGCATACTTAAGAGGCCACTGAGAAACAGATCCTTTCTGAGGCAGCTGCAAACCTCCTGCTGCAATAGCCTGCTGCTTTTCACAAGGATGAACCTTGTTTATAAAAGAACCAACCTCTTCTCTTGCCTATCTTCATCCAGCTAAAATGCATTCATTGATGTACGTATTTATCCTCATTGACTCATGTCTCCCCAACTTGCATCTCTTCTCTGTTTGTTAACCCTTTACACACTGCCAAAAGGGATAGCTCTCTAGAGCAGCTGTCTTTGTTTATCTGATAGGGTACTTACTACTCAGTACCAGGGGATTTAATCTCTTTTTTGAACCTTTCAATAATATTTATGCTGTTTTTATCACTGCCAAGAGTGTCAAAAAAGGCTCTTTTTAATAACATGTACTTTCCTGTAGAGTGGCTCTTATGAAATATGTCCTTGTCATTTTTCTAGGACTGTCCAGCAGGAGATGCCAGACAGGTTAATTATTATCATTTATTTGTGCAGGAAAGATCATAAAAGTTGTCTGCAGCAGAAAGCACACACTCCCTGTTGCCAGAAAGCAGATGCTGCATGAATAGAGGCAGGAGAAGCCACTTGCTCACCTTGCTGTGATGCTTCTGCCTTCAGGCTAGAAACACCACTTCCAGGAATCAGAAGGAAATTTAGTTGTTTTGCCTTATTCTTTCCTTCCTCACTCTGGTGCATCAGCTATAGAGGGTGCTAATTTTGGGCAGTAACTGAATTTTGCAATCTGACCTTTTATTCAAGGGTAGGACAGGCCATCAAACCCACGTAAGCCACAGCAGAACAAGCCTCAGGAAGAGCAGATGGCATAAGACAGCAAGATAAAAGCTCTGAACATAGTCCCAGCTTTCAAAGCTACTGGGCATCCTTATCCTTTAATAAATCTTTAACTCAAACCATGCACTGCATTTCCACTTTGTAAACATTAACTTTCAGGTCATAGAGAACGTAGATGTGTGTGGGTTAATCACTCACTATTTCACTTCATGCTCCTCATAGTCAGACGCATGACTGAATTTCTAGTTGGTTTGCTCCCATAGCACAGACCTCATTTGGTTGATCTAGTCAAGAACAAGCATGTGCTTTTATTTATGAGCTTGTCTTGTATTCAACATCTTTTTGAGAGAAGGCCATGCTGGTATGCTGAGAATGAATTTTCCTGTGCAATTTCAAGAGGTATGGAATCAGAATTTCTGTGCATTGATAAGCCCAAGGGGCACAAGCTGTATCTTGGTGATATAATGCCAAAGCAGGAAAAAGAAAACACATTTCTGTAGTTAATGGTATTTGCAGCAGGGGTTGGCTAAGCAGATGAACTGCCAAAGCTAGATTTCACAGTCTCTCTGCTGCCACAGATAGCTCTGATCACCTAAACCACCTTCCTTACAAGTATGCTGGGGGACTTTTCCTCAAAGCTGTGCTAAAGCACATCTGTCAGAATGCTACTAATGCTACCCTGAAAAGCCCCAAACATTGACAAATCTGCTTTTATCCATTAAGTGTTCCAGGCATCATCACTCTCACTGTTAGGGAACTACATCTAATTTAAAGGTCCATTTAGACTCAGGTCCTGAGAATCACTGTTTATTGCAGCTTTGCCTGCACAGCTGGAAAGCCCTTACACTGCTCACATATTCACAATTAGTGATGAAGATTCTTCTTAACTTCTGCACTGGGTTCTCATGTACCAAAAAGAAACATGTTTTCCCCACTTACTGATCAGATGTTAGAATAAACCCACAGTAGCACAAGTGGATAATACTAAGAACAATACTTTTGGCTACATGTCACAGGCCCTCGCCAGGAAAGAGAGCTTTGCTATTGATTGGACATTTGAAATTAAAGAAAATCGGGACTGGTTTTATTCTCCTTCCCCTCTTCCACCTGATACCCATGCGTTCTTTTCCAAAACCAGTGTGTGTCTGAGGACCTAATGCACAGTGCTGCAGCGAAGCACACCCTAAGGAAAGCTTTACCTCTGCGCACTTGCTGGTAACTTGCCAGCCAGTGACGGGTTCATCAATAATGATAATGGCTTTTTGTCAAAGAAAACTAGTGCACTAAGTCACAGACTTGCTCAACCCTATAAAGGAATCAAAGTAACCAGCATCCTCATAACAGAAGTGAGACAGGAACATGACTTCTAATAGGAAGAGCTGACTAACAAAAGAAATAGGAGGATTAAGCTCCCTTTGCTGAAAAGCAGAAGCAGGTTTTCGATCACTGAAAACTGTCACCTTGTTATCCACTGAGAAATGAGAATTCAAGCCCTGACTTCACCATACCTGACCGATATTGACTGCAGGCTACGACACAGCAGTTCATATCTCATTTGTGACAAATGGAGCATACTGCAGTTGCCTCTGAAAATATAATCAATAATGAAAATTTGTATTAAGGTTGCACCCGAAACCCCATTACTGGACAGGTTTCACATCCTTAAAAAGCCAGCGGCACCTTTGCTAAAGATTGTTGCAAGGAGCATGTAATCCTGCTGCTACGAGAACAAAAATGTATTACCCAGGAATGTAAGGTTACTGTACACAAAGGTTTCCTACTTTTCTGCATGGAAATCAGGAGGGGCAAATCTAGTGGATTTTCAGTTTTTAGGACACATTCGTGCTTCTCACTATCCCCCCCAGTCATCAAAGTGGTCATAGATCAACCAGAAAGCTCTGCCGAGCCCCTTGGGAAGAGTGGAGGGTCATTGTTTATTTACTCTGCATCTCACCTGTGTGTGCAGGGGAGGTCTAACACATCTCACATGTACCTGCATGAGCCACCTTCACTGACACCTCTGGTGCATATGTCCACCTGGGAAATAACACGGAGAGATCAAATATATTGAATTTAAAGGGACTGAGTAACAATGTTTCGATGTGAAATGTGTGACAGACACCACAGACAGACAGAAGGAGAGATGTAGGAAAACAGAGAGACAGAGACTTTAAGTGGTACAGCAAAAGAGACAAAGCACAGCAGAGAAACAGAGAAAAACAGGAGGAAAGGGGAAACCAGAGGGCAGAGTAAGTGTGACACAGGAAAGTCTGGTGTCACAGTCCCAAGCTTGGAGGTGAACCTTTTTTGGGCAGCTGACACAGGTAAGGTGCAAAAAGGAATCTAACTCTGGCTGCTCACACACTCCTGGTTCTGACAAGGAGCTAAGACTTCCTTCCTGTAAAAATAAATATAACATCAGTAGGCATGACTCCAATACACATCACCTTGTCCTGAAAGGAAAAAATATACCTAAGTATATATATATATGTAATCATCTGCCGAGATCTAAACAAATAAAATACTTAATCTGTACTAGAGGCCTATTTTAAAACCTACAAATAGGTGAGCTGCAACCAGGGCTTTGGCCACTCTACAGCATGCTGAGCTATATTCCTTTCCGATTACTTGAAGAGGGCTACTTTGGAAAGCCCCTGCCTCCAAATCAAAGACCTGTGCAACCATCTCTTAATGCAACCTCTTACACTACATGGCCTCCCTTACTCTGCAACACTTCCAATTCCCCTAAAGAAGCCACAGGGTGAAGGAACAATTTGTGCTAGCTTGCTTGTTCTGCTCTGCAATTCCTTAGGAACCTGAGAGAGCTCAGATCTGGTTACCCTTAGACAGCATCTGACCTTGAAAACATAATTCCAGCTTTTGTTGTCAAAGGATCACAGAGAGACATTGGTGCTGTCATGAGCTGCATGTCTCAGACATAGGTTATTTACTATTAATATTTTGGTACCCTATTTTTTCTGGTTGTAAACTAAATGTAAACTAAGAACCCATTTCATACAGGCATCTCAAAACTTACTCCACTCATGTTTACAAATGCGCCAATACCTTTCTGGGAAATGGCCTAAGGAAAAGCAAAGTATCCATATTTTTAATAAGTTTGACTGGTGCATCTAGCTGTCACTTTTGTGCCTGATTAGTGGCAATAGGCAGTGTTCCATTTATTTCCTAGCAGCTGCTAGAAGAGCTGCAGGCAGAGGTAATCTGGAGTCTGCAGAACTCTGCTCCCTGCCAATTTCACACCAGCATTTTACTTTCTTCTATCCCCATTTATTATTAATCTCTATTTATATCTAACTCCAGCTCTTAGTTAGCCTTTGCCAGAGGCTTAACCATTAGAGGTGACTGTGAGGAAGGAGCTGAAAGAAGAAACTGACATAAATCAGGTTTTTACTACTCCACATAATTCTGGGGAGCTGAGAAACCATGCAAAGCTTGGGCTATTTAGGAAGACAACAGCTCGCACAACGGATCAGACCAGGTAAAGTCTCCTTTATCCTTAGTGCTAAATATGTAAAGGAAACATCTGTATTGCAGAACTTTCCTTCTAATCATGCTCAGTACCTACTTTTTACACAGCTTTATATTGCTTCTAAGTTTCCATCCATTCTAATTCAGAGGATGTTCTTACATTTCATGTTTTCTGAATCCACTTAGCCCTCAGGCTCAGTAAGACCATGCCACATTTATTTCAAATAAGCATTGTATAAAAACATACCTTTCCCATCAGTTTTCAAAGCACTGCCTTTTAATTTAATATAAAGAACAAGACCACAGTCAATTATGAAAAGACAAAAACCTGATTCACTTTGCCCTCTCCAAGTAAACAATTTTAATTTAAGCAGCAGAATTAACACCACTTCCTTTCTGCTAACAATTTTCTTTTTTTAATGCTTCAAACCTTTTCTTCATATATTGCCTTTCTTTTTTCCCTTTTGAATAGGATGAACAGTGTGTTCCAGGTGAGACAACACCATTCATATAATGAAGGCATTTGACTAGTTTCCAGGCCGTTCCTTACCCATCCTAACATCCTAACACTTTACAGGAAATGTGAAGCCCACTCAGTGTCACCTTTCCTTTAGAGGTAAAATGAATGCAATTCATTGCAAAGACTGTCCGTAAGTTTTCCAAAATGGAGAGAAAGATGTCACACAGATGTGCTGTGTATAAAGTTTCCCACAGCAGTGAGAGACATTCAACTTATTGCACACTTTCCCCAGTTGTTCCCATATATCCGGACAGCCTGCAATCCTAAGAAAGACTCTAGGCTTCAGATTAGGCTTCTGGAAATCCTTCCCCAAGTCTTTTCCAACAATAGTAGCTTCAGCAGGCTAGTCAGTTGTATTATTTACTCTGCTTGACATAAGCATTGTCTTTGAGCATCCAGTTGGAATGGGAATGTCATTAGGAACTCAGATAAGTCATCTTCCACTTCTTCAGTGTTCAGTCATAATGAAGGCTCTTCAGTGTTCCTCCTCCAAACCTTTTCCTTTCAGAGAAGCCAGGAATCTAGAGGTAGGGAAGATAAGTTGCCATGTCAGAATCAGCATGAGCTCTCTTTAGCCCAAATTCGAGTGCCTGTTACCAAGCCAACTGCAATATCCTCTTCCACACCATCTCCAGAGTCAGGACTACAATGCTTCAGCTTGCTGCTAGAGGAGCACCATTAATTAAACACTGCAGAACTTGAGTATGGCTCATTTGTTCTATGGTGTTCCTTAAGGCTTTTTTGGCAAGGGTTACACGAAAGCCTTAATTTCTCAGGCAAATCCTAAACTAATTAATTACAGATTTCAAAGGCTGTATTTCCCCCCAGATTCAAATGCACACAAGAATTTTTCCTCCATTCATTTTTAAAACTATCAAACAGTATAATCAAGTCCTATTAAAGAGCTGTCTAGGCTTTATGCCTTCAAACCTGGGACAGCAGCACTTCACTGAGAGTTGAAAGCAGTTTTATCAATTGCTGAAAGCTTTAAGAAAACTGTTGGAATAGAAATGGCTGCAACAATACAAAGCATTAGGACTCCTGCTTTTGCACCCAATCTGTAGATACCGCTTACACTGTGACAATGGATGTTGACAAAGAAAATCTCCTTGAAATCATCAGAGGCTTCTCTGGTTTAACAGTATTTCAGATGGATTTGCAATCCAATGCATCCATGAATCCCCAAAAGAAAGTGATGCGCTGCCTTCTAATACTGCATAAGGTATCTGTCCTACTGGTATCATAAAACTGATTACAGTCCAGAGTAACTTTTAGCTTACTAACTACACACAAGCAGAAAGAGCAGACCCAGTAAACACATCCTCCCAAAACAACTCTACACTTTCATAGGAAATAGAGTATATTAAAATGGAAGGTGTCAACCAAGCACTACAAATCATGCCAGGAGAACACCGGCATGTATGAATGGTATGGGACAAAAATGTATTTTACAGTCCAAAGTAGACTGCTCAGGTTACACACTTCATTGATAAACTCAAAAAGCTAAAGAGCTTTCCCAAAATAAAAGTCCACTAAGAACTCCACAAATTAATTTGCTTGGGGTTTTCAGGCCCAAAACTCAAACACATATGCCAAGTATTCAATGAAGTATTGTTTTATTCATCTCTGAAAAGCAATCATCTCTAAGGGAAAAATCAGGCAGATTTTTCACAAAGGTTCATCTCAGGAAAACTGCTTTGGGAATTTAAAAAGGAAAATCATTACAACTAAAAAGTAGTTGGACCACAGGTAAAAAGTTATCTGCTTGAGCATTTTTTTAATATCAAAATCGCTAATTAAGAGCAACAATTATTTATTTTTCAGAGATCTGATTGAAGTCATAGCTGCGAACAATTTGAAACTTATCATTCTTTTCATCCTGAAGAAGTCTACAACAGAAATACCTCAAAACACGAATGATCGAAGCGACCTATTGTAGAAAACCCACAAACACATTGGTAAGAGTTACATTAGGTAGATAATTTCCAATAGTAACATTAAGAGGTTATATTCAAACCTCCATTTCCAACTTGGAATTTTCTCTTTAAATATAACTGTCCACTACTTAAGATTTGTTTTAAGCTTTTGGCTCTTGTCAGTGAAGTAGATGAAAATAGTCATCAGCAGGCTGTAATCTTCGGCACATAGCCATAAGGAATATATAGTTAATCCTTGGCTAGCCACTAAATATGATCCAATAATAAAAGTAAAAAGTAAATTATGCATCAAAGACAACGAGCACACAAGCAGATTTCTGCATTAAGCTATTATCCTGAGCAAGTTTGAGCTGGCTTCCCGCCAAATCTCCAATGCTCAGTGAAAGCCTTTTCCCTCCCTCCCCCTTTAGGCAAAGGGAAAAAAAACTATAGAAACTGAGAGAAATCGAAACCAAATAAATTATATCAAAAATATATATTTACATATATTACAGTTATATACAGTAAGGATATTAACGTACAACTCCCAAGAAGGGGAAGAGGGTAAGGGAAAAATGGGAAAAAGGGACAAAAAGGGACAAAAAAGGAGAAAACAAAACAAAATTTGCACAATCAAAAAACCTGGTAACCAGCAAAATAAAGAACTAGCAAAATCTCACCACTTCCCTTGAGAAAAGCAGGACAGCCAGACCCGGCCCAGCACTCTCCCCTCACGCGTGACGGACAACAGCAGTCGCTGCAGGCCTCAGCTCCAGATAAGCAAGACCGAGACAGGGACCCACCGTTCCCAAACCTCGCCGGAAGAAGAGAGAGAGGTCTCTCTGACCGGCTCATTTATACCTCAGTTTACATAAAGGTATAGCATGGAATACTTCCTTGGTCACTTCCCTAATTCCTTGCTGGTTACAAGCTGGTCTCCAGGAAGGCCTAGACTGAAACTATCCCGATCCCCATGAAAGGGAAACTTCCTTTCACTAGAATGTGGAGAGGATGGGAGAGGGGAGGAAAAAAAGACATCATGCAGAACTGAAAGAGGCAAGAGCCAGTTTATTTTTAAAAGGCACTAAAAATTGCTTAAAGAAAGGAAGCATTTTGTAATTTGTGACTATTTTTTTCCCTGCTCTCCCTAAGGGGCTTTCAGCACAGCTACCTCTAATGATACATTTGACTGTATTTTAGTGATGCTATTCATGATAATTTGCAAGTACCTGACAGATATGGCAAGCGTAACCTCGCTACTCTCTGTGGGGAGGTGGGGGACACGAAGAGTTGAAGCGGCTTGCCCAAACCAGAAGTCATTTTGCTAGTTCTTCACCAACTGTGCTGAAAACACTAAATTCAGTCATTTAGGAATGAATTACAAGCCAGTATCATACTCCCATTTTTCTTGTGGCTCCACTGGGTTTGTGAAAACTACCTGTGCAAGATAAAATACTAGTTCCAGCTGTGCAAAAACAAGCCTTTTCATTGACCTTCCAGATAGCATTTCTGGCCTAAATCTGCAACCAAGAAGCTGACAGAGCTGAAAGAAATCACATTTGCCCACTTTACCTCACTCCTGCAACTTTCACTATGTTAGCATACTTTAGTATTTCACTGCCGATCATATAACAAATACTTAAGCTGACAAAAGTTGGCCATTCTTCTGTCTATCCAAATCAGCTGTGCTCTCATAAGAACTCAACTACCAGCACAGATTATCATTTAAGTTGCATGAAGCCCATGTTTTAAAGAGGATTGTGCCAGCAGTTCACATTACACAGGGAGAAATGAAACAAAAAAGGAGGAAAAATGACAAACCTGATTGCCATCTCTTAAGAAGTATCTCTTCTCTATAACCTGGGAACAACAGAGAATGATCTTAGCTTGCACAGCACATGCGTAACCTTGGATTCCAACAAATACTTCACATGTGAGCACTGAAACTCAGAGCTAACTTGGACAAGGTCTGAACCCGCATTCCCTGGTCCAGGTCTATTGTTTTAAGTGCAATGCTCTAGTACACATAGGAGTTGCCACCTCCAGCCATTCTTAGAAAGGCTGTGTTACCCTCAACTTCCACACACCTAATTTAGTTAGCCCTCCTGGACAATGGAGGCAATGGTTTGGGTGTCTCCTGCATCAAACTCTGCCAGGGGAGGTTTAGGTTAGATGTTAGGAAGAAATTCTTTACAGAGAGGGTTATCAGGCATTGGAACGGCCTACCCAGAGAGGTGGTGGATTCACCATCCCTGGAGGTTTTTAAAAAGAGATTGGACGTGGCCCTTAGTGCCATGATATAGTAATTGGAGTTGGATCAGGGGTTGGACTTGATGATCTTGGAGGTCTCTTCCAACCCTACCTATTCTATGATTCTATGAAACTCATTCCTCCCATGCCCTCTCCGCAGGTGCAGTGGTTCCACTACCACACAGTAGCTCCACTGTGTTATGTCCAGGGGATGCTTAACCAGAGCATTCCTTGCCATTTTCAAAGTGGACCTTGATGGTCTCTTTTTCAGGAAGGGAGAGTAATATGCCAAATTTCTTAATTCCTAAAGGTTCCTTTAACCAGGATCAACAGAGCTAACCATAGTCTTGTAACTACCCACATTACTGCCTGAGAACACTGCAACCCCTCTGGCCTGCCAGACAACTTCAAAAGCATATGCTGAGTGTCTGCACATTTGTGAGTTCTTTTTCACTGCTCTATACAGATCAAGAATCAAATCGTCAAGCAGATCAGCTATTTTCTGGAGGATTCCAAAAGCAGGCCAGTCTTTGGCCTCCCCACACCTGGCTTGAACCAACTCAAAAAGTGGAATGTGAAAAGAGCAGCTAACTGTTTTTCATGTTCCAATCACAGACAGTGTTTGATACACAGAACAATAAAACATCATTTAATCAACTTACCTTATCAAAAAACCTGCTTAGTTTGACAGCATTGGATGAACCTGCAGCCAGGTAACGAGGATTGGTGCAATCCTAGAACACATAGAAGACAACAACAAACCAAACACACAGAAATCAACACAAGGAAGCCACACACCCTTTCCCCTGACACAGGCTGTCAGCTACGGTAAACAGTGTACCTGCTGATTTCTGCTCCACAGTCACTACAGAGAAAAGGCCAACTTCTGCTCTGTGAATCAACTGCAGAATCTAAGTAACCCCCTATGTGCTCCACATCCTCCTTCCATCACCAGCTATTCAGTCAGATAATGATTTGTACAGGCTACACATGAGATCTTGTGTATGTGTATGCATGTGTGTGGGTATACAAGCATTCACACAACACGTGTGTATTTTTACACCTATATATCTATATAAAGTGATCTTGGTGTTTCATTCAAAAGCAGCCCGTGTCAGAACTATGAACAGGAAAAAGAAAATTTAACTCCAAACCATCCATTCTAAAGCTTCAGTGACCTTATTTAACACCCGGTACACCTCCCTGTAGTGAAACAAAGATGGCTGTTTTATCAAGCAAGGGGTACAGCCAAAAAAAATGTGCATGCCTCTGGCACTACTGAAAAAATCTCCAGAAGCCCAATTTTTGTCACAACATCTTTACTTACTAAAAATTGGACTTGCTCCCATATAAAAGAAAAACAACACTGGTGACAAAGATACTAACCAAATTTATCTCTTCAGCATTGAAATCCTCAGCCAAGAAAGCTGTTCTGGTCAAAACTTCATTCCGCTTAGTTTCTGGGATCTGATCCAGCTTAGTTCCTATTACCAGCAGCGGAATCTGGTTATCAGCAAACTGTTCACGGTCATAGTCACTGGTGAGGGAAACAAATACAATCCTGAATAAGGTGATGGCCATGTAAGTGGGCACAGGGGCACCCTCAGCTCCCCTGTCCTTTTCAAAAAATGGTCATTTAATTATTAGGGGTCATAATTTATCTAAGTGAGAATGTGCTGTACCTGTTAGATGTACCTGCATCTAAGTCACTACCCAGGAATTGAAAGGAAAGAGAAAAGAAACCACATGAGTTGGATTTCTTCTCAGCACAGATGAACCACAGAAGAAATGCTAACACAAGCAGGAAAGGAACTCCAGTATTGTACTGAGCGTATGCAGACACCAGGGACAGATCAGGGAGCTGGCATCTCTGAACAGCTAAAGTTCCTACATACATATACTTTTAAAGGAGGGACAATGAAATAAATTGCACCCATGAAACACTACCCCTTTCCATGTGTGATCAAAGAGGGTTGCAACAACAATTGCATGGTGTCAAGTTATAAATTCTTCTATATTCAAGTAAAGGTAGCCACTATAAACTGAATTTCAACAAGTTTTGATTCAGATATGAATAATGATCAAAGATAGCCTTTATAAAATAAATAACATTGCAATTAAATGTCAACACAAATCCATGCTTCGATCATTCTCTGCAGCTAGGATAATCACTTGTCTTTCATTTTTATCTAAACCAAGCTTTCTGGAAAATAATTTTACAACCAACAGCAAAAACCTCACCAAGGAATTGCTAGTGGCTGAGCATCTGTCCTTGACAGAAGCTAAGCTTTAGAAAATTAAAACATTCGTGAAGAACCTGTTTGTGGGAAAAGTGGAGAATTTTGCAGTTTATACAATGCAAATCCCCTTTCTCACCTTCCATGTTTCTACAGAAACACCTGTGTACCAGCACAGGCAGATAAACAATTCATATTTTTCCCACAAAAAGCTACTCCTTATTATTGCCTTCCTGCTCACGTGTGAGGTTTATCAACAATCTTAAAACCTCCTTGACTACACGTATAACAGGAGCACAGTGGTACAGGAGGAAATACTTGACAAGATGTTGGAAAGCTAATTGTGAACATGCTTATTGGGAAGTTTTTTAAGCTCTTTCAGCCACACTCCTGGAAAAATTCCCTTATCACCCAAACCAAAGATTTATGAAGTGAACTTCCTCAGTCTTGGTACATGAAAGGAAAGCCTTTTGGAACACACATGTCATCCCATGACATTTCCTGTATAAGGACACATCTCAGTACAGACGAAGCCTTCAGGTATCAAGGACTGGACCCACTTTGTCACAGAGGCCTCAAGCAAATGAAGGATGCAGTAAAAATCTCTTCCCTTAAAGCAAGGTCTCTGCTACACAGTTTGGGAATCTACTGCCAGAACGGCCTGATTAGCAATACAAAACACAAAGAACAGCAACTTTCTTTGATATTCCCAATTTTTTCCTTCCTTTCTTAGAAGTCTAGCCACATCTAGTTTCATGTGGACTCCAAGTAGCCCGAGGGACGAACAAAGACTTTCATAACAGCTTAGAATAACTGTGTCTTAAGTCTGTACATATGTTTCACACTCACCCATTTGTCACAAGAACTCCTGTTGGAGCAACATCTCTGTTGAGTGCTTCCAAAGTCCAGCGATACAAATTCTGGGATGATTTCTTGTTGGTTAAGTCATGCACTAAAATTATCCCTAGGGTGAAAGAAAAGACAGCAAGATGCTATTTAATGATACATATTTTTCTCTTATCTTACCAAAATGACATCTGCAGGTTCCCAGATATCTGAGAAGGAAGAAAAGGATGCATAACCAGTTCAGTTACAGTGAATGAGTAAGGCTGAAAATATCAGGATGCAACAGGTTTTTTAAAGCTGCTTATCAGGAATTGGATAAGAGCTAAGACAAAAATCTCATGAAAGAAGGAAACAAACAGCCACCTCAGGGTTTAATCCACAAAAAGCTTGCAGGCATTTCCTAATTCTGCTCTGTTTCTAATGATTCTGAAACTCTGTATTACTGCAGCAGAGAATTTAGTCTTTCTCTGTTTTACCTAACTGGTAAACATAACTATCTTTTTGTCACACCATCTGAGAAGTCTAAAGGCTTTTTCATTGTTTCAAAGAGTTTAGAGAGCACTGTTGCTTTCCTGCATTTTCAAGAATTAATGTTACATTCTTGGGAAGGTATCCAAAGGGGAAACAGACACCGATAAACTTTCACAGTTCACCAAAATTATAGTTCAGATGCATAAGTTCAAGATTTCATGTCCTACTGGGCTGCTTTAGGATATTTCCTGGTAGAAACATGAATTAATTAGATTTCTTGTATTTAAGATTAAGCTACTAGCATTTTTCATTACCATGAGCCTTCAAAATGTAAATTCTGAGATACAGCCAAACTTCCTAGCTGTGCTATTAACAGACACCCACTTCTGATAACCACAGTTCCTAACTCAATTACCGACTACTGCTAGCAAATTTCTTCTATTTATTCACACCTTCTGCAATACATGGAATGTTCCCACTTCCTCCAGACTTCAAACTATCATTAATTCAAGGACAAAATGGAATTATACCCCTTATCTGCATCAGGATTCATTCTCAAAACACTTCACAGCCTACAGGTGGAAAAACCTTAGTAATTTAACCTTTTACCTGAACTCCCAAAGGTGCCACCCACTGAACACCTGATCAACAAACCACATTTCCTAAACATTTTCCACTACCCCACGTGACTGTGCACAGACTCTCCTGTTAGAGTTCACAGCATATCACAACCACAGCCCTATCTCAAAGCAATTATCTCAGTAACAGCAGAAAAAGGCAACTCAGCTGCGTGTCCACTCCAGTGTAGGGAGAAAAAGCCTGACACAATATAACCTGGCCTACAGCAACAGATTCTGAGGCACTGCTGCATAACCTGTGAGAAACACTCTCCACCTCCAGATCCTCTCCCTCAGTTATGTTTTTGATTGGTCAGTTCCCTTATCTGCACCACCTAAAACCTGCACAGTCGGTTGCACCAGCAGCAAAAGACTGTGTAAACATGCAAGAAGAGCAGGCAGGACTCAAGGAAATGTTCCTCCCACATGAAAGCCTGCAAACCAAAGCCTTACTGCCTAGTCCCTGTCCTCAATTATCACAGTCCACACACCAGATGGAGGGTCAGCAAAACAGAAGATTTGTGGTCAATCCAAAAACAAACTGTTCCCAACCTTGTCAACAGCCCAAGAGCCTGCACAGGTGCTGCCACAACCAAACATTAACTGTCTTTCTGTCTCAGGTTTGCAGACCACTGTAAGCCCAGAAAGCACAAGCAGTCAGGCAGAAGGAACACATTCATCTTCTCTTCTTAAATCAAGTCAAACTGAGGCAATTTGTGAGACAAGCTCTAATGGAGAAATTAATCTAATGAAAGAAACAAGAGCCAAGGTTAACTACCAAAGTCAACACTTTTCATATGCGAGCTGCCTAATAATGTATTTTGGGCACTGGAGATAAATAACTCTTATTTTAATAATGTCATTAATTATAATTCAGTTCAGGATTTCATTTCCTAATGGGCTGTTCCAGGATATTTCCAAGTCTGACCCACACTCACTGGCATACTGTGGATTTGGTGTCAAAAATAAATCCATTTTTTCATATACCAAAGAATCTTCCTTTGAGGGCACAATTCAACTCAAGCCTTATTTACAGGGGGCCAGTTAACAACATAAGCAAGAGGTACCTACAAACAGTTTTCCTCACAGGGAAGGAAGAAGAAAGAACTAGTTAATCACAGATCAAAAATATTTATTGTGTGGGTTAACATGTTACTGAAAGGCCTTCAAATTATTTGGAACAAGAAAAGAGAAACAAACAGAACATTTGAGACAAATTTTCAGAAGCAGTTGTTAATCTGATATACATCTATCTGTAGTGAACTACCCTTGAACGACAAAAAAGGAGCAAATGAAATACTGCATTGTTATGTTCATAATCTCTTATTTGCTCGTATTAGTGGTAGAGATGAACTAATAGGACTTTAAGTCACTATCTCAACAGAAGGCATAAAATACTACTTTCTAAATATGCAGCAAGTTGCAAGATTCAATTATCAAAAATAATCTAACTAAATGAACTATAATGCTAAACTAAATGAGCAGAGGCAAGATGGTTATCAGCATATTGCAGTTTTATGGGAGACAGTTCAAATTTGGCAAGATAGGATGCAACTATCAAAGTTCATATAAACTCAAATAATCATTTCTCTGCTGTAGGTTTTGCAACTGAACAGACAAGATAATATAAATCACATTTCTGCAGTATACCAGACCTGGAAGTGTGAAGGTAACATTTATGTCTGCAAGGGTAGCTGGAAGGGACAGTACTGCACCTTTAAAGGCTCCCTGCTGTGCCAGCTACACAAGACTGAAGTGAAAGGCTGATGAAGCTCATCTGCACAGCTTCGCCCAAAATATTTTTAGAGTTCAAAACAGATTCTATAAAATTCTGCCTATGAATGTTATCAGTTTTTTTTTCCCCTGTATAAATCAGAAAAGAGAACAATATGGCTCTCAGCCAGACTACAAGGAACCCTGCCCCAGAACCAAGAGACAGCTCTTAACAGAAACAGTAATAAAATCAGACTTACACCAAGCAAACTCACCATTTAGCAAGTTATAGAATACTGCTCGTGTGCTTTTCACACTAGTGGCACTACCCACTGAACCTCCAACATCCCACAGCTCAATGTAATAAGTCTTCTCTTCTGGAGTCCCTTCTTTGTAGTCATGGATCTGATGAAAAATTCACATAATACATAACCACAGCACCAACTCACAGGAGTTAATCCACACGACACTTACACATTCAGCTGGAAGGATTATTGCACTTGGATAGAAAATTGTAAATTCTCATGATGACACCATTTCAAACCTCTCAAGTGGAAGAGAGATGGAATGAGTCAAGCAGCAGCCACTGGATACCACAGCTCCTATAGGAGATGGAGCTGGGTGAGTAAGCAAGGATTATCCTTTCCATCTTAGTATGAACAAACCTAACGCTTCATGATGTGCTTGGAAATAGCATGTTGCTAAAGCAAATGAAAATTAAGGTCTTGACTTCTTACAGTTGTTAAAACCCACACTGTAGCACTGCAGGAGTAGTAACACAGGCGACCACATTGGATTCCAACTGACCACATCTCTTTCCTCTCCAAATTCTCATTGACATCTCAACTGAATTAATCAACCAAAAGCTTTTGCCCCTGGATCTGCCTGGTAGTTTTGCTCCACAGTCAAACAGGAATGCTGCTTTCCAAATTTTGGAAATATATTCCTAATCTAGGGCAGTGCGTTTCAAGGAGAATGCAGCAAAGAGTGGTGAAGGAAAAAAGCATTTATCAATGTCCCATGAGGGCTGTAGGTTGAGCCAAAAAAGTACTGGATGAATATCCTCATTCCTGCCATAGCAGGTCCTACAGTGAGGAGTCAGGGGGACAAACAACCCTTCGGTCACAGTCAGTGCCCACAACCTAAACCAGCAAACTGTTTTTCCCCAGTACGTTTAGCTGACCACGTGGCTATACATTGCCTGTTTCTCAGAGAAACGCGTTTGGGATTCTGTGCCTTCTGACTTAAACTGGCCCCCTGTGACTTGTAACTCGCCCGTGGCCACTGCAGCAGGGACAGGGGCTATGAGTGACAAATACCGTGTGTGACCCTGACAACCTGGGAAGGTGAAAACTTGCTCACACAAGTGCTTGGCTCACGTCGATGCTATTTGCCTTGAAAGATTAAGTCCTCACTAAATCACATCATCAAAGCACACCTCTTTCTGTGGCGGTAAGTAATGAAAATAAAATAATAAAGTCAAGGCCCTTCTCTTCCCTTACACTGCGGGCTCAGGGGTACCCAGAGGCCGGGCATGTCACCTACTCGCACATCCACGGAGCAACCCACTGTCCAGGACGGGTTTCCCAGCACCTGGTTGTGGCACAACAGGTGAACGAGTGAAGATTTTCCGACACCTGCAAGGGCACAGAGAGAGAACAACTCCTGGGAGGCGGCGCCGGGGTTACAGGCAGCGGGGCCGGGAGCAGCGCTGACTGAGCGCGGGCGGTCCCGGCCCCTCAGTGGGTGACGGGGAAGCAGACGAGGTGCGGGTCCGCAGGAGCAGCCCCGGGCACACGGCCTGGGGACAGGGACTCACCGGAGTCGCCCAGCACCAGCACCTTGACCCTGTCCAGAGCCGCCATCTTTACCCTGCCCAGCAACAACTCCCGGAGACGGGGTGACCCGCCAATCGCAGAGGGCTGTCCTTCCGCTTCTCTCAGCCTATTGGCTGTCTCTCATGCCCCTGGCGCGTCTTTCACTTCTGATTGGTTCAACTCGCGCGAGGGCGGGAAGGCGAAGGGCCGTACGGGAACGCGATTGGCTTGCTTCGCTGTCGCTCGCGCCGTTGAGTCGCGCCGGTAGAGAGGGGGCGGTGCCGCGCACGCGCGGCGGGTGCCGTGACGCCGGGGTCGCGCGCGGCGGTGACGCGCGTGGCGGAGCCGCTGGAAGCGCCGCCCGGAGCCGGGAAGAGCTGGAAGCGGCGCCAGGTCAGTGCCGGCCCCGGGGAGCGGGGTGGTGCCTGCGGCCCGCGGAGGCCCCCGGCCCGGCGCTCGGGTGCCGCAGAGCGGTCCGCGGAGTCCGTGCTCCCCGCACGGTGTGTCCGTCTGGGCCCCCTTCTCGCCTTGGCTCCGAACCACCGCCCGCCGCCCCTCCTGCGCTGTCTGTGGGGGCTGCCTCTTTGTCTTGTGTGGTTTGGTTTTTTAGGAGGTACTGTTAAGCTCCTCGTGCCCTACAGAAGCCTACACAATCCGATGTTTAAACCTTAACACATTAAAAGTGGGTAGGGAATGGGAAGCTGTGCAGACAGCATAAAGGGCTCTCTTTGCTTAACCTTAAAGCTTAGTCTGCTGTCAAAATCTGTACAGTTCGTAATTTGAAGGAAGTTGCAGGATTATGGACATCTGAGGAGTAGATGACTGGCAAATCCTGCTCATTCCTGTTTACCAGGTTTGGCTGTGGGTTGAGCCCATACGGTGAAACCATTCACTTCTGCAGGTGGGGTTTTGTTTTTTTGTTTTGTTTTGTGTAGGGTTTTTTGGTTTTGTTTTGTTTTAATTTTATTTTTTTGTACATTGGTTTTCTTTTGGCCTCACAAGCTTTCTGGTTCCCTGGGAAGTAGATGACTTACATCCTAATGGCACAGAGCTCTTGATGTTAAATGGGCCCAGCTGTCAGGCTTGTGCCATCCCAGCTGGCTCAGAAGGAGTGAGGAAGATTGGCATCCTGAAAAGGGTGTTCAGCAGTGCACAGCTAAGGTACATTTTCATGAAGTATAGGTGGTTTGATATTTTTCGGCCACAAAAGGTGGTGTTTCTTCTTTCATCTGTTCCAATGCAGTGTCATCCTCTGATACCTGCTGCTTCTGTTGCTCATCAGACTTTTCTGCCAACTCATTAAACTGTTGAAAAACATAGTAAAAAGGAGAAAAAAAAAAAGGAAACATATTTTTCTGCCTTTTAGTGCTGTAAATTGGTACACAGGAAGGTCCAGTGAGAGCCAGAGCTGGCATGAGAGAGAGCAGAGCCATGTGCTTGGGAGAGGAGCACATGCCTTTCTGAGAGCATGATGGGAGTTGCATTCCTGCCTTCCACTTCCTGTGAGATACAGCTTGCTTTCTCACAGGATACTTTAGGGAATTCTTTTGAACAAGAAACTACATTAATTAAAGCTAATCAGGTATCTTGCTGATTTGTTTGTTTCTTTATTGCTTATACCCACAGTATATACACATTTGCTACACTCTGATGCACTAAAACTATTATGAACCTAATACTTCCAGAATTTTACATTGTCTTTCTGGAATTCCCGAAGGTCAGGCAATACCACATAATCTATCATGATGAGAAGTGTGGTGTTCCAGGTCTTATTGAATCCAGAAGATGGAAAGCAATTAATGCTTTCCTCCTGTCTGAAACTTAAAAAGGAATGCTGGGGCGAAGCCCAGTGTGCTTCAGTGTAATTGTGACTTCCTAGGCTTGATATTGGTGAGAAAGGATCCTATCTTTTTCCCTTTAAACAAACCCCCAAAACCTTACAACTCATTATGTAAGGATTAGTGCCGACACGTCACCAGAATAACACGTTCTGCTCGTACACGTTCAGATTGGAGTGTAGATTGTACGAGGTTCTGGTTAAAATGTCCTTATATCACAGTTGAGTCAATTTTGCCACCGCACGGGGAAAGATCACCTAAATCTTAAGCCATGCTTTCTTTTCTCTGCTCTGTGTTGGCTCTAGTCTGGTAACAGAAATGATTCAGTTGAACTTTTCCCCCTTGCCCTCTCTGAAATACCCCAGTTTTTTGTTTTGGCGTGTTAGCTTTTCACTTTTTATCAACTTGATTTGCACTGCTACAAGAATAGTGAACTGTCAGCACAGAAGGGTGGGGGCTGTGGCTAAAGGCAAGGGAGGAAAATAAAGACTTCTTTATGGGAGGGAGTGTAACTTGACTTAAGCTGCAACAGGAAATGGTACCTTCACTCTTGTAGCGACTAAGTTTGGCCTTCTATGAATAGTGTGCTCCATTTTTTTTAGACCTACAACTGTAAATACTTTTTATTGCTCATGTGCTTTTGAAGTACTTCTGAATATTTCATCAGTTTGTAAACATGCACACAAGTAGTCCTCTAATTTACTGACACCTTGTTATTGTTTGTGTTGTGTTAAGATTACGAATGTGATTGAGAATTAGATCCTGAGCCTGCCTGGTTCAGTTTCTGCCTTGCACAGTCAGACCTTGTGGCCTTATCACATCTGGCTCCATATATCTTAACTTCTGAAATTAGGGAAAAGTGCCCTAATTTCAGCCAGGCCCCTCGGCCTTTCTGTGCAGCTGCAGCACAACTTTTCATCCTCAGTGAAAGAAACCCCTTGATACCTGCGACCTCTTGATTTCACTTTATGGAACGCCAACAAGAAGGTGAGATTTCAGTGAAAGCAGATTGTTCTTCTCTAATACTTCAGGGTAGGTCTTGTTGTGAAAATACACATTTTCTCATCAAGATGTGCAGGAGAAAGGCTGAGCAGGAGCGTTCCTGAACTCTCCAGGGAATGAAATTCAATGAACTCTTGATAAAATGTCAGAAGACTTTGGGTTTGCAACTGTTGTGGGATAAAGGCAGTTCTGGATAACAGGGACATTTTCCAGATCATCCATGCACTACAGAGAAAAGCAAGTAAAGGCAAGACTAGAAAATGGGAGCTTCTGTGCCGTATTGTGGAAAGGATGAGCAGTGTCTGAGGCTACATTGTATAGACATTTAAAATGCTGATGGCATGTTTTCGCCTCTGAAGTTCTGAAATTTATGCCTTCCCTTGGTGTTCTCTAGAAGATTCAGAATCGCTCCTTTCAGCTTAACTTCATCATCTTCTGGAAGGCAGAATTTTAAATTTTGTTAGAGTGAGAGACTACAAAACTAGGATATTGCGAGTGACTGGTGGAGTGAGATATGGCATATACTGGCTCCAGGAAGCTTGTCACACTTACCTTATTTACAGGTGAGGGACTCTCTTCTTATAATCTGATTTTGATTTTACCTGAAGAGACTGTATTAGTGGTGTAAGCAAGTGATTTTTTTTTTTCCCCTTTTGAAAAAAATTGTACGTCAGAAGCCTGCAGAAACATTTTCCAAACAAAATGGCAAAAGCTGGTCTCAAAGATTTAGTCAAAAAGAGCACTAACAATAAAAATTAGATATGGGGAAGTACAGGAAGCACCTGCAGGTGTTAACAGTATAGTGATAGCCTAAGTTCACAGACAAACCTGCAACTCCAAATTTTCCTCCAAAAGAGATCTGGGGTGTGATAAAGGGTTTATATACCCAAATGAGTCTGAAGAGCAGTCTGCTTCCTTTTTCAAGATCCTGCTTTTAAAATGTTTACTGTGTCAAATACATGAATAGTGAGCCACGTTTATGTTTTCTGAGGTAAAATTAAAATAAGTCGCAAAGCTGTATGTTAAAACAAGGTGATGTTCATTTGCAGTATTGGATAAAAATTCCTGTTAATTCATACTGGCTGACTTAGGCTTTCATATTTCTAGTACTAGTTTCATCTACATTGTGGCTTCTAGGTATCACCTTTTTAAAACTTTTTGTCTCAATTTTAGTCAGGAAAAGCAGGAAGAAAGACAAATCTAACATCATTAGCACAATACCTGTTTGAGTTCACAGAAGAATTCTTGAAATCTTTGTACGCAGAGGAGTTTAGTTGCTTTCATATCACGTCAGGAAAGTCCTGACCAGTGGGGATGTTTGGTTGATTGAATTTCTGGCTTCTGTGTGGTCTTTGGTCCTATCACACTGATTGGGGTTTTTTGCAGTCACTTGCTTTCCTCCTGATTTCTTTTCTGACATCTCTGGTTATGCTGAAGGCCTGTGCCTCATACATTTACTCAACCTGAAGTACAATCTGCGTTTTGCAGAACGTACCCTGATTTTCTTCACCCAGCAGATCTGATTGTTTTGCGTAGCTGTAGGTCTCTTTTTCCAATGTTGCTTTTTATAGCTACATCAATATTAATTCTTCCATTTAGAACAATTTTAAAAAACCCACAAAAAATGTGTATTTAGGTTTACTGTCTTACTGTGTTAACGTAGACAGGTCTACTTTCCTCCTATACCCATAGTACTGAATTGCATTCACGTAATTACCCAGAACAATTCCCCAACAGCTGTCTCTTTTAATAAAGCCCATATTTAAATTTTGAAGTTTTTCTTTTGATTGTTTCTGAGTGTGATCCTGTCCAGTCTGCTTTATTATCAGTGCTGTCTGTAGGTGCTCACTGTATAGTGGAGTATCTTGGCCATTATTTTTTTTTCCCCTGAAAATGTTCCTTGATGTTCATAAATTATTAAGGTCAATTCAGACGTTATTTTGAAACTGTTGCACGTCCATTGAAACCTCGTTAGAAGATGTTATCATATTTCTTTGCATATGTAATTAATTCAGGCTTGACTTACTGCTTCAGTGGAAGGTGAAATTGTTGCTCAAGGATGCAATGGTGAAGTCCCCTGATTTTGAATTTTAAACTGATATTTATGTAGTACTGGATTGCAGCGTGTGAGCTGCGTCACTGTCTTTCTTGCCTGGTGAAAGGTGGTAAGAAATTGCAACTTTGAGATTAAAAGCCTTGGATTCTTTGTGGGCCAGATGTCAGCTTCTCCTAGAGACACAATTTGTTAGACCCTGGTCTGGTGCGTTCTGGCAGTGGTATGTGCT